GACATAAGCACTAAATTGTACAATAAAACCAATGAAATCACAGGTTCCTTGCTTCTCCTCATCAGTACTACCAATGATCCACTCACCAGCAGCTAATGCAGCAATGGAGAAAGGAAGATAGAGTGTCAATACAAGGTGTGCCAGTATGAGAGAAGTAAAGAATATTGTTGATGATTGTTTCCAGGACTTCCTTTGATAAATAGTAATGACTAGTACAACACCATTAGCTATGAGAGCTAGTATCATCTCAATACTAAGAACTCCTGCTACTGCCTCCGGACTGAAATCTCCAGTGAAAGTATAATTCCTTTCCATCTTTCGCAGTTTGAACAAACAAGACTGATTGTGACTTATTGAGTTAGCTCTCTTAAGAAAACTTCCTTTAGCAAACAATTATATTGTATGCCCTTTGGATATTTCTATAGAAATAACAAATTCTATTAGTGTAGGGTACCTGTCTGGAGGTAGTTATGGGTAGTTAGTTACATGGGTACATAACTCCCACAAGATAAACATTGCTAATCAACAATTTCAACTCAATGTCAATTTCAACATTGATAATAACAAGAGTACATAATATTAGGGAGAGTGTCCTACGCACCTATAGTAGCCTGCTACATCACAGCGTATAGTTTACATCAGTATACTTCTTTGGTATACAGGAATATACTATTTCACACATTAACACTATAAACATTGCTAGTCAACAATTTCAATTCAATTCAATGTCAATTTCAACATTGATAATAACAAGAGATTGTTGATGATTGTTTCCAGGACTTCCTTTGATAAATAGTAATGACTAGTACAACACCATTAGCTATGAGAGCTAGTATCATCTCAATACTAAGAACTCCTGCTACTGCCTCAGGACTGAAATCACCAGTAAAAGTATAATTCCTTTCCATCTTTCAAGTTTGAACAAACAAGACTGATCGTGACTTATTAATTAAGTTAGCTCTCTTAAGAAAACTTCCTTTAGCGAACAATTATAATGTATGCAATTATAATTATAATAATGATAAGGATGTGGGGTTCATTGTACTGCCTGTTGCTAGGGACAGGTGCCCCTGCGGTTTTGTAATTTAAAAATACACTCATCTTGTTTCTTGCTGGCTTGTTCTTGCTTCACTCTTAAACAAACTCTCCTGCACTTCCTTATCCATAATATTGAGAATAGGAATATTAAGAATATCTCTATGAAAATAATTGGACTGAATATATAGTCTACAGAGAGAGAGAGAGAGGGTGCACATGTCATTAGTAACAGGTTTTAACAAGAGGGAGAAGGTGACTCTATAGCTTTTACAAGGTTTGTAGTCAAACTTCTTGTTAGTAACTGAAGGACTGCAGGTGGAACATGCTAGGAATGAGCTGCTCCCTCCATCGATAGAGACGGTGCCAGAGGCTGAGACTCCAGTTGGTTTTATTGTACTTGAAGTTAGTATGGGAGCTCGCTGCAAAAGAGGCCAAGTACTAATATTGACATTAATGTCATCAAAGAAATCAGAAGGACCGACACATGATGATGAATTACAGCAGCCTATCATGTAACGGACTCCCAGGGCTCCTGAGGTATTTCCTGAAACACAAGAAGAGACGCAGAGCGTTTGACTGACAGTCCATTCTATGTTGTTATAATAAAGAACAACAGTGCAGTGTGTAGATGAGGAAGGACAGGACCTGTCTTTTAGTTCAGTGACATAACTACCATTAACTTCATTGTGTACTAGCTCGGGACAACTCAGAGTAGCAGTAAGAGCATGAAGAGGATGAGGGAGAAGAAATACTAACAGTAGCATCAGAGGGAACATGGTCAACACGTGGTGGGGGTGGGCTAATTAAACCTGCATGTATTTGCATAATCATT